TGTATTTCCTTTCTTGTTACACTTTGCCATGAATGGTATACTTGTCCTTTTTTCGAACACCTTGGGGATGGTTCAGGCATTGTATTCCCTGTTGCAAGAGTTGTACTTAGTGATTATGTTTTGTTAAACTTGATTGTCAGGGCTCTGAAATCCACTTAAGTTGTGAAGTCAAAACTATACTTCAGGTCTCTCTGAGGATACAAAGGCACTATACACTCATCAATATGGGCTGGAGGATGTTTAACTTTTTCTTTGTAATTTTACAAAGAGTCACAGCTATGCAAACACATACTTCTGATTTTTATGTCTGAGATTTAAAATAAAATGTATGAACTATTTTTGTTGGTTGAGCTGCATGTATACTGGTTTTATCCTTTTAATGCATGTGACTGACTATGGAATGAATACAGTCAAATATTTACATTGTGAAGTGTTATAAGACATTTTTTTTATTTGTCTGAAGACCCTCACCTCATCCTCCTTTTGGAGATACTGTGAAAAAAGTAAGGTACTTTTTCTGTGTGCTCACAATGATATATGGCTGAAGTGCATTTAATTTCTAAATGCATTGTTTTTAAAAAGAGTTTCAGAAGATGTTCTTTAACATTTTCATATAGCTAGCAATCAGACTTTTTTCTGAATATTTTAAACATTGTGCATGTAAAATTTATGCCTAATTTGAATACTTATTAGCTGCCTAATCTCAGAAAAGAACATTAGCTTTGGGTTTTTTTTGGTTGGAAAATTCATCTTCATACGTATCGCATTTTTCATTTCTAGCCTTATTTGTAGTTAAAGTTCACTAGGATGTTTTGACAAGGAATGCATGTTCTTAAACACAGTTGGTTCTATATTGGTTAACTCTGATTGTAGAAGCTGCCCCTTCTTACATGAATTGTGATTATATTTATAGTGTCTGTATCCTTTGTGACCAGAATTGGGCATTTACTGTGTAGATTTACTCTTTAAGGATGCAGTCCTGTGCATCTGGAAGTAAGATGTAGTGAACTCAGCAGGTCTTGCTTTTGGTCAAACATTTCTAACATTGCACTATAAATCATCCTTTATAAAAACTTATATCACAGTTTCACTGACATACTTGAGCAGTGGCTTTAGTTGCAATAAGGTGTTTGGTGGTTTACTTGATAGGATTTTTGTGCATGGGCTGAACTGCATTGAAAACTGTTTTGTGTAAAGTCACAGCTGTGTTCTTTGAATGAGGTTGGTTCAGCAGATTATTTACCTACCGAGAGAGGTCCCTTTAATATCACATTTCAGAAAGTTTCTCCCTCCTTTTCCTGAAAATCCTTAGTTTAATGTATGCATTATTACAGGGAAATGAACTGAAGTGAACGCCTATAGCATTGTGTGGAACTTAGGTAGCTTTGAAAAAATGACATTTCCTTATTACAGATGCAAAATGCACTTGAAATTCTGGTTTGTAAGGGGATGTTGGTTCTTTATTTACTGCAAGGATTTCAACTGATCCTGGCAGGACATCTCATTGCTATCCTGAAAGTACAGTATATTTATGCAGTGAGAATGATAAAACATTTATTACTGTAGAGAAGGTAATATGCATAATTTATGCTGTTTTTAGCACAATCATTAGTGATATTCTTGATAGATTTTATTTCCAGCTTTCATATCTAATACATGCCTGGAAAATTAATTTTATATCTTTCATTTATTTGCCTATGTTAAAATTGAGTTTTAAGTCATCTTCAAGTGAACAGTTTGATTGCTGCTCATGCATAAGCTTAATTACTTCCCAGGAAGGACAGTATTAAATGTTTTAAATGTCAGAAAAATAAATGAATATCAGCCGTTTGATTAAAAAAATAGGCAATATCTGACATGTTTGCAGCAGGAGCTTTTTCTTAAAATGCCTCCCAGGCAAAATTTTATTTAGTCACCAAAAAGGAGAAGCCTATTATACTATTTATCATGGGTTGGATGCCATATGATTTGTAACACCCTTACAAAATTTTAATTTTGTATGATTAGCTGTGCATCATTAAACAACAGTCTTGCATAAGAGATGCTGTAAAAAATCTGACAGTATCAAGATAGTGACTATTTTAAATAAGGCTTGCATAGTCACCCATGGTTGTCAAAGCTAGATAATAGGAAATACAGTGCCGTGTGTGTGAAATTCTGCCTTCCTTTAAGGGGTTGATAGGTAGGGCTTTAAAATGTAGTTGCTCAGACTGCTGTTTATCCACGCTGCATACGCGGCGTGCTGTTTTCCCTGTTAAATTAAACTGCCACTGAAATGCTTATAGGAAACATAATTTCAGTAATTAGTATACCTCGGAAAGTGTAGTTTATATACTCCTTTGCTGGCTTCCTAAATGACTGTGCAAGGTTCTCCCCCCCCCCCCCCCCCCCCCCTGCTTCTAAAGATGCTGTCTCTGTAATTGGCAGAGAGGGACATCTTGATAATGGAAGTGTGAAGGTGTAACGCGTGTGTTAATTGATACTTCTTAATCACTTTTAGGTATTAAGTCATGATGCAGGAATCTGCGACAGAGACAATAAGCAACAGTTCAATGAATCAAAATGGAATGAGCACTCTAAGCAGCCAATTAGATGCCAGCAGCCGAGATGGAAGATCAAGTGGTGACACCGGCACCGAAGTAAGCACAGTAGAACTGCTGCATCTGCAACAACAGCAGGTAAGTTTTTGTTTTGCTACGTGTTTTGTTGTTGCGCAAATAACATTTTTGTTTTGTGGTGGGTGCCAGTCCCATGCACTTTAAAAGATTGCAGAAAGTGAGGAGTTCCCCATCCTTATTTGTTGTTTGTTTGTATGTTTTTTCCCCTGAATGTCTGTCTTAGAATATCAGGTTGTTGTTTGCTGTTGATAAAGATCATGTTGTGTTGTGTCTATGCTGCACACACTGTCTCTCAGTATGTTGTATAAAGTTGTTTCTATAGATTTATTTTTTTACAAAGCTAAATGCTTTTTATAAAGCCGCCAGGTTTCTGGAGTGATGCTGAGAAGGAAAATGTGATACTTAGCTTTCCACCAGAGGGCCACATTCCTTGATACTTTGCATCCTCCTCGAATGAAATTGTTCCAAACTCAGTGAAGGTGAAAGGACCACAGTGACTTTTTGCAGAACAGATGCTTTACCAAGATAGCTGTAAATAAAATAAATTTTAAAGGGCTGGATGGATTTTCAGCTGAAATGTAAAGTCAGATGTGGATTAGAATTGCCTTCTCACAAAGATAGGGAAAACAAGATAACTGTATTTATTTAGATAAAAGGATAATAAATAATTTTGTTTACCACTTTCTTTAAAAACAACAACTTGTAAACAATACTTTTTGTTCTTTTTACTATTTCTTGGTTTCAGTATTTATGCATCTAAAGAAGAAAGGAAAAGAAGGCCTTTTTACCAAACATTTGCAGAATTGTTTAATTTTTATTTTGATACCATAAAAAGAAAAGGGTTTGTGTATATTGATTGGGGATTTTATGTTACTAACAAATTATTATTATTTTACAAAATTGCACTGTAGTATTTAGGCCACGTCTTCACAAGCCCAATATTTGGGGACATGTTTGAATTTTTGAACTTCTTTTAATAGCCATAGCTCTCACTTCCCAGTTGTTCATGGAATAGTACTGAACACTTAATTTGTAAATAGGTATATTTGTTATTATCAGCATGTGGATTTGATCACAAGGTGTGTGTGTGTGTGTGGGGGGGGGGGACGGGGACCCACAGCCTAGCCAAATCTACAGTTGTTAAAAATTAATCCCTTTTCAGAAAAAGTATTTATAAAACTACACTCATAGCTTCGATATGGGCCTCACTTACCGCAAATCAGTGTGGCAGTTTTCTGGTTTTACATTACACTTAATACCCTTACTAAATTGCTTGTATAAAAACTATTTATTGTAAAGAAAATTAGCATATGAAATAATTTAAATAGATTTTGCTTGAAACCTGAGAATTGCCTACACATTTTGCAGTTTTATACAGCACTCTGGGCACTTAAGAGCTGAATCCATGCTGTGTTACATACCTTTAGAAAACATATCTTAAGTTACACTGGAATTGTTCTTTTTTGTTTAAATAAGATAAATATATACATAACTATATTGCTTCAACCTGTCTTTGTTGTTTCATAATGTAGTCTTCTAGCATGTTAGAATTTATAATCACAGCACTTCACAACAAACAACACACTAACAAAAAAAACATTCTACTCGCTTACTTATTTCTTAAACAGCCTTAAACATTCTAGCAAATTTGTCCATGTAGACACACAAATTAGGTAGCATTTGAGTTTAACAATTGGAGATGAAAACATCCAGTTGAGTACTAACATCAGACAAATTCTAAGGGGGATAGACTTAGTTGCAACAATTTTCCCTTCAAAATTGTGATTAACAGACAGGTAGAGTAAAGCCATAGGTTTACTTAATAGGACTCAGGAGGCATTTTAGGGTAGCTGTCTGCACTATGTTCTTAAAGACAGCCTCAACGTGGAATATCATTGTCTTCCAAACATGTTGATTTGAAACATAAGTGCTAGTGAACTTGAAATTTGCATGCTTTATTTAAATCCTTGTTTGTCTAGTCGTGTTTGACTAAATCCTACACTTTTCCTAATCATGTTCTCAGAAAGATGAATACAATAGTAACTTGAACAATTTCATTGGTTTCATTTCAGGTCTTGTCTGAGAATTAAATTAATTAAAATTGTAATCTAGGGTATAAATCAGTGATTGAATGTACAATAAATAAATGCATTTATTTGCCCTCGTATCTAATGTGCATATGCAAAGTATAGTATTGTGCTTTGGAGTATTTTGCCTTTTCTGTTCTATTGAATTTAATGATATTTTGTTGCCATACTTCAGTGTTGTTCTACATCTTTTATGCATTTCCTTAAAAAAGCATGCCTGTGATCATACATCAGAGAATTTGGTGCAAATTCTTCCGTATGAAAGAGTAGGATTTGTGACTAGTGAGAACTGGAAGTACTTTGAAGTGGTTGATAACATAGCAACATAGCTGAGACATAATCAGTAAATGATCATGAATTGTTAAGATTTAGAGAAATTTTATGGGGGTTGTTTGTTGTATTTTGGCATCTGTACTTTAGGCTTGATTTAAAACATTTATAGATTCAGCAAGTTTGTCCCATATTTGACAATAATTTCTCAGTGTATCAAGAGACAATGACAGTAACATATAGTGTAATAAAATATGTATTAGTGATAAATAGATTGAGTACATTATTAAATTAGTACTTTTATAAAGGTATAGTCAGAATAGGGACAAAAACTTTTCAGTGTATGTGTCTGGCAGCTTAAAAACATTTTTAAAGTGGATATATAGCTTTAGTGTTGAACACATAATTCAGTAAATGTTACCAGATGAAATATTTTCTGCATTTTAATTCTCTATTGATCCAACAAGTCAAATAACAGAAATGTTATGGTTTTATATTTTTTTAAAAATCCAATCTATTAAATCTGTTTTAAGCTATTAAAATAGTTAAGCAGTGTGTACAGTGCATAAAAAAGTAATATTTTGATTAAATACATGAACAAATGATACAGCATTAGATGTAGAATCATATTTTGATATTACATCTGCAGAATTAATTTTGTGTCAATAAGGTCAAAACAGTTGCAAAATGTGATTGCTTTACAAGGTAGATTTGAGCTTGCATTTTGAGTATTCATTAAATCTGCTTCACTAATATCATATTTTAAATGTTTAGTAATTTTTTGCTGCTACAATACTTTTGGAAGTTGTGTTTTCTAGTGTTCTGCTATATGTCTTTAGGATATTTGAATAAAATAGGCATAAAATTTATATAAAACAGTATAAATTATAATAAATAATGTACAAGCAGCATAATATTTTAAGCATGTACTTATTGTGTAATAATAATTGTTATAATTAAAAAATTATATAGTGCAAACATTAAATTAAAAAAAAATATAAAAGTATGTCAGAGCACTATCTGGGATGATAAACAAAATATGGTGGCATATAATGACAGAACAGTCTTAATTTGATATAACTAAGTATTATATATGTCCATAGGCATCAGGTATAGAAAGCAATAATATTAGTGACTGCTGAAGCAACCTGTTTCTTAGAGAATTTATGTAGAAATTGCTTAAGTAAATTGAAATGTTCTTCAATAGTCAGGATTAAGGTTGCAATCTATACCCATTTACCTGGAAAAAAGGGGGGTAGAGTAATCTTCAACAGGAATTACTTTTGAGTAGACATTATAGGATTTCACTGTTACTCTTTCACTTTAATTAATTAGTGTGATATATATAAAGTTCCTAGTTTTTTCCCCCTCATACTGTATTCTTATGCCATAATCTCCATATATCTCCCCAAGTGTGGTCTAATGAGCCAGACTTCAGAAATGCTGCAAGAAAGTTGCAGGAATGCAGTTTATGGATTACCAGAAATAAAAAGGAAGGAAAGAAATGAAGAAAAAGGAAAACAAACAAACATACAAAAAAGGCACCTCTACTAGCTTAGAACTGAACATGACAATTCTGTATTTTTTGTTGGACATCTAACCATTTTGTGTAACCCTTGATCAGTCACTAGTTACTCTAAACTGTGGAACACCTACAATTCCTATTTCTCAAGGTTAACTAGTAGATGTTCCAAATTTGTCTTTGTCATTTTTTTGGCCTTTCTCCAAAGTAGGAGTGCAAATAATACTGGGATAATAAATGCCTTTAACCAGTAGTGTCAATACTTTGTGGGAAGTACCTGTAGCCCTATTAGCTCATGTGTAGCTGTGTCAATATGCTGTATCAAATGTGAATTATCAGTGACCCCCCCCCCCACAACAAATCAGTGTACACATTTTATTGCCAGAAATGACATAGTAAATATCCAAAATATGCTTAAAGTGAAGTAACACTATTCAAGGATAGTGATCTTAATGCAGTAGAAATTATTTTTAAAAATATTTCATTGAAGTGCTGCCATGCATTATTTCTTGCCTTATTTCTAATATTCACCAAAAAAACATGATTTTACATGTTTCCAGAGAACCCATTACTCTGAAAGTGCAAATGTGAATAATTTCATTTGTGTGTTGATGCTTCAGCAGCATGTAAAGGACTTTAGAGACTCCAGAGTATACTTTGTGAATTGCCTTTCCCTCCTCCAAATGTGGCACCGTTTTTGTATATTTTTCTCATATTGTATTTGATCAAAATGTATCTACTGTGGCTTTACTGAATACAGATCCAGATAAATACTATCTGTGAACACGTGATTAGCCCTTTGATAGTTTGAAAGGAAGGCTTTTCCATACTTGTATTTGATTTTTTTCTCTCATAACCTCTGTTCGCTTAATCTCAATTGACATGCATCCATATAAATATTTGGAGCTCCTGGGTTAAGTGTACATGCAATATTTATCCCAAGCCTTACTCTACAGATTTGCGTTAATATTTGGTAACATTCTTTTTTTTCTTTTAAGAAATTGGTCCTATACTCTTGTTTCTATTAACGTTTTCTTTTTTTCCCTCCCTCTTCTGATACGGATTTTATTTTAATTTATGAAAAAAGGATTTAAATCTATTTACTATGCAGTGTCGTGTATCTACAGTGTATTCTTAAGTTCCATTCACTATAGGTACAAGTAGTAGCATATTCATTGTGC